GGCTTTTTACAGGCCAAAAAGACCACATTCTAATACCCATTTTACCTAAAATTCCAAAAGAGAAAAATCTCTCTTTTTAAAAAAGGCGTGAAAAAGCCTTCCCTTTAAGGGGGGGCCTTTTTAGGAATGAACCCCCCCCCCCCCCCCCCCGGCTCTGCTCAAGACTAGCATCCCATACAGGGGTTTGAAGTAAATACTACATAACTATAAGTGCTTTGTGTTACTAAAACCAAGTTAAGCTGTGGCAATGGTGGACTGCCTTCACCTTGTTTTATATTTGTCACCTCTAATTTATAAGCTGTGATAATATTGTTATTTTCAGATGTAAAGGAGTGGAACACTTTATTTTGAAGATGATTGACAAACTTCCAGATATGGAGATGAAGATCAATGTTAGGGACTATCCACAGGTATATGCTTATCATTCCGAGTCAATCTTTGGTTTGACAAAATATCAAGCCCTAGGATTTCAAATCCCATAGATAACAATCTTTCACTTCCATGCCCAGAGATCATAGGAAACCATCTGTAACAATTTTTTGGCTCCATGAAAATTCTTGGGAACCCACTGATATTTAATCTTCTAATGTACAGAAATATGTTGTTAATCATGCTGGTACTTAAAAATTAAAGGACATTGATTAGTGTCTACTATTATTTACAAAAAAACTTCAATGTCTATTAAAATGACAGAAGAAAATCAATTTAAGTGTTAAATGTGTGTGCATAAGTGTCTAAAGTTCCAGACGCCTCTTTGATCCAACTGAAGAAGTATACTCACTTGAAATGTTTGCCATAGATCTTGTCTCTTCATAAAGAGATTTGGGCCTCATCATCTGTTCCAGGATAAGTCACTGGGAAACTATTTTTCGTTTCTGTTATTTTACATGTAGGGTCATTGTAACAACAGCTTACCTGAAACTGTTGTTACCGTGAAATCCTAGGGCTTGAAAAGAACAAAAATTACTCATCGCGGATGACCAGACAGGGCTTTTTTCGAGCCCTGTAGGTTCATCACTGACAACAGTAAAGTTCATACCACAGGATTTTGATCACAGACTTACAGTTTTAACCTGTCCACTGATTACGAGTTAGTTTCCATTATTCACTCAGGAAGTGTCTGGGTTACTTCACACATAGTTAGTACTGTACTAACCACATAAAAACATGAAGCTTGGATGCATATTATGCTCAACTGAAATGGATCTAGGGATGTCTACTGACTGAGATGTTGGTTCTTTTCTCTGGTAGAATTCAAAGTGGTCAAAACCATTGCCTGTGTTCTCTTTCAGTAAGGTAGGGATTGTAAAGACTTTAGTTT